GATAGCGCCTACGTGTTTAGCAACAGCGGCAGATATTGCTTGCATAGATCCCCTGATTGGCAATGATCTGTGTCCTCTTCTTCGGGTACAATTAATTTTCTTTCTTTCTTTTTTTTTAAGCCGTTCCCGTAAGTAAGTAAGTAATATACGTGAAATATAATCGTATACGAAAAAATGTAATCTATATAAAAATGATAAAATTAACGTTAAATTAATTAACAAATGTATTACCGTAAATGATTCAACATCTGAAAAGCTCTTTGCATAATTAAAAAATATGCTGCTATCATTCAAATGACTTCGATCAACTACTATGTCTGATTCTGAAAAGAAAAAATGAACAACTTTATACTAATATTTTAATTTGATTCAATTTCTTTTAATTATAATTATTCATTCAATATTTATTTGTACATTAATTTATTGTTGTAAATATTACAGATATTGTTATTGTTGTTGTTGTAGTATTACCAATAAATGTTGAATTGAGCTGAGTAGTTTGCACGGGGAAAAGAAAATTAGACATGCCAATTAGAATATTAGCAAATGCAATCATCAAACTGCCAGCACCAATCCATTTGGCCCGATTTCCCTGAATAAATATAATTTTGGAAATTTGATGAAAATTTTTATAATTAAAATGTTTAATGTACCAAGTGTATCTAAATGTTTCAGCATTATTTGCTCTTTCATCCTATATTTATCTTTTATTGGAGGGAGGAGAAAAATTCAAAAAATTTATTACTATTATTTATTTTTCATTTACCCTTACATAATTAATTATTAAAATTCAAATTCAATAATAAACAATAACTGCTGGATATTTATTATACAAGCAATTTTCATTTCACTTTTAATATCTCAGAGGATTAAAGAAGAAAGAAAATGAAGTAAAAATTTCAATTTATTCAAAATTCGCTACTTCGAATTATTTTATTTGAAATGATTCACGAATCATTAGTTATGATATATATATACAGCAAACTCTTTATTTCAAACGTATTTTAAGCATAGTTTAAATCAAAATTTAAAGGGAAGAGAAGAGAAGAGAAGAGAAAGAGCTGAATACCTTGCTGCCGAAATAACTCACAAAAACCACCGATGGTATATAACCAAGATCACCAGCAGAAACCATCAAACCAGACATTCGACTTGATATTTGAAATTGTTTCTCGATTGATACCACTACACTGTAGTTTACACTTACAGAGTATTCATCAGTCAATTTTATCTTTTTCTTTTCTTACAAAAATATAAATAAGTGGAATTTTGTATTCATTCCATTTTTAGGCAGTAGTAATAGTAGTAGTAACCTTGCCATAAAGAAGCCACCAATTGATTCCAAAAAATAAACGGTAAGAAAAAGTATGAAGAAACCAATGACCTGAAAAAAAATGTTTCAAATTAGCACCAATATAATATTCAATTACCGTAATTCTATTAAATTAAATTGCATTCATATTTTTTTAAATTGAATAAAAAGTTAAAATCAGAAAATCCAAAGATTATATAAATAGAAGACACAACTATTAGAAAAATACATATCTCTTTTATATTTTCTTTCCTTCTCTCTTTCTCTTTTCATTTCATCTTGATATTAAGTATGTTATTGAAATTTTTGTAAAACGCTAACCGTTCTTTGATCAGACATTATAAATCATTCGGAAAGTTGTGATTGTTGTTGTTGTTGTTGTTGTTATTGATATATCGAGCAAATGAAAAGTGATTTAAAATTTGTTGCAAAATATAATCTAAAATTCGCGATTAAACTGCTTTTGTTTTAAATTTCCTTCAATAGATTATTTACTTATTTCTAAGTTGACAGATAGATTGAAAGTTGAAAATTATTTAATCATGCACACACATACACACAAACACACACACACATATACACACACACACAAACACATACACACACATACACATACACACACATATACACATACATTTGCGATAATCGTCGCGGAGTTCTATATCCATGGTTTGGTAAAAAAGAATAATAAAGGATAATTGATTCATTTGGCTAATTAATCATAGCGAATCGCTGATAAAATCGAATTTTATCATAGCTTACTACTAATGATTTAGCTTTGAATAATTTCGAAAAGATTGCTTAAAAAAATGTTTGATTAGCTGTTTGATTATTAGATTATCGTTTAAATTAGTTGAATTTCAAGATAAATAATGAAAAACTTATCAAATAATTAAACTTGTAATATCTTTTGTATTCTCCTCCTCCTCCTCCTCCTCCTCCTCTTCCTCCTCTTCCTCCTCCTCTTCCTCCTCCTCCAATATATTAAAGAATGATTTGTAGAAAGATAAAAAGAATTGATTGAAATATAAGGTACAATATAGGTAAGTAAGGTAGTAAGTATTATATTTAAAATGAAGAAACGACAAACATTAGTTTCAATTTCTACATCACTTTTAATTTTTGTGAAAAGAAACAAAAACAGGTTTCTTTTTTTTGTTTTCGATTATTTGGGAAAAGACGAGTTTATTGAGAATGGAAGAGAAGTGATAAATGGACTTTTCTTTCCATCTATATAATTTCCTTCATTCTTTCTATCATCTTTTATCATTGATTGTTTTGAATTTATAATTTGATGATAATGATTAGACTGATAATATGATGAGGAGAATGAATTTCATTGCTAAATAATAATAATAATAATAATAATAATAATGATAAAGTAAATTTGATTTTACTTTTTCATTTGCAAAGCATAAATTGTATATTGATTGATTGATTGATTGATTGATTGATTATTCGATCAAATTTTAGTCTACGATAATAGATTAAACCATCCTTATTCTTCGAAAGAAAATTAAACTACTAAAATGCAAAATTAAATATGACAGGATAATAATTATATTTCATCTTATTAGGTTAGAGAAACAAATAGGAAGATAAAATACATACATAAGTGATGCAATTAATATTTTAATCAGTTTATTAGAAATTTTATAAAAAAATATATATATTTATGAGTGAAATATGTAAAATCAGATTTAATAATAATAATAATAATATTATTATTATTATTAATGATAATAGTAATCGAAATTGACAATTAGATCACTTCTAATCCGAATAGATAGATGCTTTTATTAATTTTGAAGAAAAAAGAAAAGCAAAATTAAATGTTGAAATAGGATGAAAAAAATACTTTACAATGTAGTAATCAACCAATAATTTGAATCATCAAAAGGAGTGAGTATTGATATGATAGCGAAAAGGAAACCGTGTATTGATTATGATAGTGCCATTTTTGAATTGATAACATTATGGTAATAGATAGAGCATTATTGATAAAATAGGAAACAAATACAATTGATTAGTGATAAAAAAGGAAGAAATGCAATCAATAGTTGACGAAGTTTTGAAGTGTTACAAAATTTATTTTTACATATGATATGACGACAATTTGCATGAATGCAAATGAAATAAGCAAAAGTTTTTTAAATAATAATAATAAATGAAATTGATATAAAATAGTAAATAAAATGGGACATAATTCATTTAATTTAATAGTTTATAGTATAGTTGTTTGTTAGAGCGATCGATATACGAACGTTACGATCGATATACCCATATATTGCTGTTTTGCATAAGCTGATTGATCTTTCAAAATCAACTTCATTTGATCACTTTTACCTGTTAGTTTTTTAAATACATTTCAACGCTTATTGATTTAATTCCCCACTATTTTAGTAAGAAAAGAAATTATTGAAGGTATTGAGTAGAGGATTCATTCGACATATATATACCTATAATTCGTTTATAATGATGGTATGGTATTAATTCATTTCAACACTTTAACAACAGTAATTTTGAAAGTATCTGAAATTTGATGAATGGAATCAGAATTAGATTCTTTTAAACATCTATTTTAATCTCAAATTAATTACATTAATTTCGCTGATATTTTTGGTAAAAGAATGAAATGCAAGCAATAGATGGTAGTGGCACCAAATCGAAATCACAACGTTTCTCACGTTTTAACGCTACTCTTTGCACTCTTCTTACCTCTGCATTATTTTGGTAATATTTTTCCCATAGAATTTCATTTCATCATCTTAATTTTTCGTACGCTACATACATACACATACATACAAACATAGTACGTCAAAGAAAAAAATAAACTCACGTAGGCAAGAATGCAATGCAATATAATCATAGTGAAGGAAGGTATCATAATAATAATAATCCCACAAATAAGTTTATATGAGGAATGAAATGAATGCAATCATATTATTATTGCACGTTAGCAGCGTACGAGATGCAAGTAAAGAATTCAGAGATTCATGCACATTTTTCGTTTTGTTCGAAAGTGAATGATGCTCATTCAGTTTTGCCGGTAATTTGATGTACACATACGATGAAGCAACGGCTGGTTTGATGGCCTTAACATCATTTATCTTTACGTATCATTGGTATATGTTATACGGTAATGCGTTAACACGTGCACGAAGAGCATTTCTTAATGTTGCTAATGTACTTGACACGTATCAGTATGTTACCTTTCTGTTATTTTTTAGTTAGTCTTAATTTGTTTGAAATCTGTTATAGATAGCTCATTTTTCTTCAATAATCTGACAGATTTGTTTCCAAATGGAGATCTTATTATCTAGAATTTATAATCGAAAATATGGACAATTCTATGAATCAGATCCGGATACACCTGGCGATGCAGCAGAAACATTCAAAAAGGCAGTAACAATGTCACTTGGTGATATTTTAAAGGAAACTACTGCTAGTGCCAATGATCATGGAACAAAATTCGAAGAAGTAGGTGTGAAAAAAGAAAAACGAGAATATTGAATTCTATCTTTTGGTTGCCATATTTAAGAAAGAAGATCCATTTTGAATTAAGGATTAAGGATTGTTGGTATCATAATAGATTTTGTTGTCATTCAGCAAATTATCAATAATAATTTTAGAAAAGGATGATTCCTTTAAAATTGGAAAAAAAAAACTATAGATAGAGATAGATAAAGTATGCTAATTTCATTCTAATATAGTTTAATCTACAAATAATTTCAACTTTTCAACTGATAAGAAATTTAAGAAATGGAATTTTTTTATTTATTTATTTTAAATTCATTGACCGATTGTATTTTTTAATCATTTGCAATGATCGTTAAAATCGATATAATCGAATGAAAGAAAGATGAAAAATTATCCGTCACTGAGAAATGTTTAGCTTCTTCTTCTTTTTTTTTCAGCTTTTATACGAATAGATTTTTAATTAAAACAAAAACTGAAATATGATTATAGTAAATTATGCTTGTAATATGATTTTTAAATTAAAGGCAGTGCAAAAGCATTATGCTGATGTATATCAAGCAGTACAACGGGCGGAGCGGGAAATGAGAGCAAAATCGCCAATTGCTGATGAAATTGATATTCGTTAATTTACACTTCGATAAAATTATTATGAAAATAAGAGGCTAAATAGCCTGCCTCATCACATTAAGAGAATTAGCATTTGTAAATCTAATAAATTTTGTGAAACACCCTGAAATATCAATTTCAGGTCTAATTATATTTGCAACAGATAGACCTTCGACATTTGTTGTATTTAGATTTAGCAAAGCCGAAGAAGAAAAATTATAAATTCTGAAAGTTATGAAATATTTCATTCCAGAACACCAGACCAATAATCTAGAAGAGGTGAAGACAATACCACCGTTACCACCAAATTTGAACAATTCAACAGCAAGTGAAAAACCAGATAAATGAAATGCAACGGAGTGAATGAGGTTTAAATTAATTCTACTCTATATTTGTCATTTAAAATTTGAATCCGTAGAATATTGCATTCACTAAAATTAGAAATAAAAGAATATATAATGTTAGTTAGTTCTTGTTATTTCACGTTATCAACCACTTGCACAATTACATTGCAATTATCTCCATCCTAATATTCTTTGAATGATGTAAGAAATAATAATAATTATTACGATAAGCACTATCCATCTATCCATTATAAATGTTGAATTCGTATCATTAGGAGACAATGCTAATGTTAAATCAATTTTTCAAATTTTCAAAATTATCTTTATTAATTTTTGTAAGGTAAGTTACAGCAAATCATATCTATTATACAAGCAATTACAACGCTTTTCACGTGTATATAATATGGTTTGAGATGAATCACTATGAGCCGAACGTGTACCTTCCGTGATAGTATTTAATATCGTGTTGTCTTGATATACTTGTTTTCGTTGCAGGCTTGTTTTACATCTATAAACCAAATTATATCTGTAAGTTATAAATTGAAAATTACAAATTTTATTATGAGGTCAAAAATAACGCTTGGTTTGCACGCTTAACAGCTGCAAACCGAAAGTGACCGCACGTAAGTTCAACCTTTGATCTATATTAGCATTTAAATAAATCCGGTTAACGCACTCGATAAATTTACATTTTGATAAATTTACATTATCATGAAGATGAAAGGACTAAGCGGCTTGTCTTAAGAGAATTAACTACCATTTGTCAAGCTAATAGATTTTATAGAAAATAGTTTAGTAAGATTAAAACAAAGGTTGTAAATATGTGTTGAAAAAGAAAGTGGATGAATAGAGAATATAATAAAATTTTTTTTACTTGTTGACAGATGAATAGTGCGGGTGATGTGAATTGAGTATATGATTCCGTTCTTTTAAATATAGCAATTTCAACTGATCTGAAAGATGATTTTAAACAGAAAAAGATGCCACAAACAGGACGAGCGAGAAATACTTGTCATTTTTTATTAACTGATTAAAATTTCCACTATATCATCGTGAATGGGAAGATTAAGCGCGAGATTATCATTTCAAATATAATACATTCCATTTCTATTAGTATTGAAATAGCTATTTCATCAAAGGTGAAATTGCTGTCACCACTAGTGAGGAATACCGGAAGATCGAATATATTAATTAACATTTCGTATTTTATTCTACAAAGCCGAATATCAATTATTAAATATTTTTTTCTGAAAAAAAAGATGCATTTGAAAAGCAAACCACAAAGAAATTTTTCCCATGCATGAAAAGTGTTAAATTTCAAGTATGCCGGGTTAAGACTGTACATTTTACAGAAATTATTAATTAGTGACCGGACCAATATTTGTTCCTTTACTTTACCATACTGCAATTGTGTCTTCTTCAAATGTGTAAGTTCATTAAAAATAGCTTCTTCGTGTGCATAGTCTCGACCGATCCACTTATCTGTAACTATTTCATTTTACAAGTATCATTGAAGGATTTTAACAAAACATTAAAATGTTGTCAAATTTCATGGGAATAAAAAGATGGGCATGTAAAACTCTCCTCAAAGACTAGTTCTACAGTATCTTTAAAATACCATTCTTCCTTATCAATTATCATTTTTTTCATATAATTAATTACCAACATGATTAATTAATTTTTAAAAAAAATATTAGTTGCTTAAAGTTATACTGGAAATTAATTGCTTACTTAAATGTGACATACCACTCATTCCATAAATACTGCCACTTTCTGGCTTATCATTAATTTGCTTCTCATTATTATCATTATCATTGCCACTCAAATTTTCATCAATTCTTGTCACTTGCACAAATTTTTTCTTCATCTTTTCTCCTCTCTCACTTTTTCCATACGAACGATCATTCTCCTTCAACTGCTTCAGTTCGTTTTGCTTAGAATAATAATTAGTGGTCTAATTTTTAAAAAAAAAGAACAAAATTGAATTCCTTTTTGATGCTTTTTCAGATTACTTCAATTTTCTTGTTTATCTCTGTTCATACATACTTTATAAGTATGGATAAAATACCATCGATTTAAATTTGAAAAGAATAATTTTATTTTCCGGAGAATGTCAAAAAGCCAGGTATCCGGAAAGGAAATCAATATTGTTTCAGGTTATTATAAAGAACAAAATAAGGGTTATTTCAGTGCATAAATTTTTTTCTTTTTTAATATAATCAGATAAATAATGGTTATTTATGATAGTAAATTATTGAATGATACATATATTATTCACTACTAAAAGACTACTTATTTCAAATGTCGAATTGTAATCTAATCTAATTTCAGAAATCAATAATAATGTCTAATGCTATAGTAAGTTTGCTCTTATTTAACTCTGTACCATCTCTTTTACTGACCTACTGAATTTCGAAATTATTAACAATTGTTATTATTTATTGTTCGGTACTTATTCGATTTATATGTTAATGATTTGCTGGAGTTATTTGGTAGGATAATTAACTAATTGGTTGATTTATGCTGTGATTAATTAGATAATTAACTCTTATTTATTAGTCATTTGCTCTGGCCATAGATTTTTCCTTCTTTTTCAAAACATTTACTCAATTAAAAAATGAAAAATTATCAACTGCTCAAAGGGACTGCTTTCTTATCGATGTGAAATTTACGGCAAGAATAAGAACGCACGAAGAAAATAATCGATTGTGGCAAAAATCATTAATTTGCAAATTTGCATATTTTAAGATATGGAAATTTAGAATTGGCTTATTAAACTAACTGTGGAATGATATTATTAGATGAATAGCTTGGATTATTTGAAAGTTGGATTATTTTAAGTATCTGTGATAATGGCTGCAGGCAGCATATTTATGATTGTTATATTACCACTTTTAATAGCTATTTCAATTATATGTTCATGCAGAAGACAGCTAAAGCTTTTGACATATGTTTGTTTTCTTATCTTTTGAAATATTTAAACATTGAAAAATTTTTCAATTGTGTCGTTTGTATTGATTCACAGTAGTTGTAATTATTTGTCAGTTCATTATCCTTCTTAATTATCCCTGTAGTTGATAAAAAGTTCATTTGCTATAAGTAAAGAAATCTGCATATTTCAGACTGATACAATAAAAGCTGAAGCAACAACAACGAATACATCTCATTCCAAAAAGTGATAAAATATTATCAGCAATTATGTTAGTCTGCTGTAAGATATCAAATAACAATCATGGGTGGTGCATCAGTAATAGTAAACCATCATTATTTAGAGATATCAATAATGAAGAAAGCAATAAGCATGAAATGTTTGATATAATGCAGAAAATGCCGGATGTGCAATTACAGGAAGCGATCCCGAAACTTTTGAACAAGCAATCAATGAAAAATGTATGACAAAAACTTTCTGCATTCTCATACAACTTTCTTGAGAATACCAATTATTAATATCAAATATTCTGTTTAACTATTCATTCATCCACTTAGTATTTATTTCCAAGTACTTTATTAAATTACTCTCATATGATTTGTTACTTCATCTCTTTTTTCATTTAACCCGAAGACAACATAAAATTATTCTGTTTATCTCTTTTATTTATCCATTCACAATAATTACTCTTATTCTGTATGCAAATCACTTTTTCGATAATTTCCTCAGTTCGCATAGTCATATTAATTCCGATTCAGATTAAGAAGGAAAAATTAGAGCAACAAAACACGCGGATTAAAGATATGTCGAAATTATTATCTCAACAAAGAGCACTATCAAGCAGTTCAAGTTGTAAATGGTTAGAAAAGAAAGCAATTGTCGATGGTGAATCAGTACTGCAAGGGTCTATTGCGTTACTTACAAATCAAAGAGATCACTACCCACTGTTGAAGGTTTTCACCTTTTCTCTGATATAATTTAGAATTTGCAGAGAGATAATCATTTTAAGCTTATGGAAAAATTTTTTGTTTTCAAATTTAATTTTTCAGTAAGTAGCACTAATCAGAGTAAAAGATATCCTTTAGATTAGTGCGTTGGTGTCAATTTGTTAAGGCCTTGTTGATATTTGATTTGATAGTGTTATTAACTAATAGTTTTCATTTGTTCAAAAATGAATGACAATTCAAAAATACTGTTGCCTTCAACCATATTAGTATGATATTTGGTGAATTATACATTTTGCTTTCTCGCAGATTAATGTAACTAAACAAATGATGCAATAGTATGTATGATATCTCAATTTAGATAAATGATTTACGAGTGACGGGAAGTAAAAAGTCGAAATTTTCTCATCTTGAAGGTATAATATTTGCTTTTTCTAGCACTTAGGTATGTATTTATGATTAAAGGATTATAGAAACAAATAGAATTTATTAGCTTACAGTCCTTTTTTAAATTTAATTTTACTATCCTTTAATACAATGTTATGTTCAACAGAAGAAAATGATTTGAAACATTATACTATTTCTTTCAGTCCTTTTTTTTGATTTTGATATTTTAGAATGATTTGTGAGAAATTTACTTTATAGAAAATTTTGAGCCATAAAATTTCAGAACGAATGAAACAACTGATTACAAATAATAGTAATGAGAATGAAATGAACGCATTAATGGTAAATGATATTATTGTATTCCCACGTCAACTTAAATGGAAATTAATAAACACCGTTCAACGCATACAACTACAAAATCCATCTGAGAATCGTTTTGCAATAAAGGTTGTCAAGAGTTGTTTTTCTTTTTTTTAAGTGAAATTCAATGTGTGATTATGGATTAATAGATTTCGGCAGACAAATAGTATCCGGAATTCCTTCCGTATTAGTGAATAGTGTCCGGAATTCCTTATTTAATTCCGGATGGAATTCTTTCTTAAAAAATGAAAATTATTTCATAACTAAAGAATGCATTCCTATTTCAATTTATATGCAAATTCATGAAAGAAATAGTTGAAGCGAAATTTGTTTAATTAGTTAATTGCTTATCTATAGTTTATGTAAAAATTTCTCTCCACAACAATTAATTAGAAGTGGTAACACTTCTGTTTTAATACAATGAAAATACGAAAACGAATGTTACTTACATCTTTACGCTTAAAAATGAATAAAAATTTAAATGTTTATAAAACGGAATTTTAATTGATATTGGCATAGTAGAATGTATTCTCATTGTAATCAATGATATTATAACATAACATTTTTGATTTATAAATAATCATTAATGAAAACAAAAAATATCAATATCTAGAATTTCCTTTATTTATCTCCACGTCCCGTAAATCATCTCATTTATCTCCATATCCGGTAAATTATCCCATAAAATGAATTTCTACTTCTCTACTGTATTTTCTAATTGATTTTATTAAATAATTGAGATGCATGTTATTTTCGTTTCGTATTTTCATAAGCGTTATGTCAAAGGTTTGCATATACGTATATATGTCATACTAATAAGTTTCATCAAATTGCTTTCATTTATTAATGATTAATAATAACAAAATAAATTACTTCAGTTTTAATTGGTGCATTTTTCTTTTTTTCTTTAAGTACTTAATAGATAAATTTTTATTTAAATAGGATTAATTGAAAATAGCAGTAGAAAATGCTAATTATTGTAAAGATCAGAGGTCAGTTGTATACTCATAAAAATTAAAGATATAACACCTGAAATAATCTTATTTTCGCCATTAAATGCAGTAAAGCTAAATATCTGAAGTAGCCACTATTTTATGCATGAAATGAAAAAGTTTTATGCAGCGCATGCGTGCATGTATCTTAAATTGCACTAAATGAAAGCATTATAGTTTAAGAGTAAAACCTATAGCACGCATATTGATTATTAAATTATTTGTTGTTCAGATTGTTTAGGTAAAATGTACAGACAATGATTTATACAGAGTGAAACCGGTATTTACATTTGTTGAACCGAAAAGTTCCGTTGTTTTTGATGTTAATCGACATGATGGTATTGCAACCGTCGACCATATTCTTTTCCTGACCACTTTGGTACAAATTGTTTGATTAAATCAGAAAACTTTTAAATTTAAATATTTCTAAAATCTTTGAAAAAAACGTTTCAGACTTTGATAACAAGTGTGTTAACACATTTTAAAAAAATGCAACTAATTTAAAAGTTTATCATAACGAAAGTCCATAATGGAGAAATTTGGACAAGGTACAATTAATTAAGATCAGGCTGAAATATTAGCTAAAATTGGCCTAAGAGTAAGCAAACAAAGCTTCAACGCCCTATAGCAATGATTTGATAGTATAACAGCGTAGTACATATTGGATATATTTAATTTTTTGAGAGAATTTTCTTTAATGCTTTTGAACCATTCAATATATTCTTCACTTTGTAGGCGGAAGGAACCGGTGACGATCCACGCAAGTTTTTTGTGGATTCTATGACAAATAACGATAATATTATCAATGATTAAGAAAGTGCCATTAACAATCTTTCAAATAAAACAATTCTAAGTGTGTTATCTTCTATATTTTAAATGATAAATTATGTAATAATATAAAAAATTAGCTGTTTTTTGTAAAATTAAGTTTCGATTAAATAATTAAATGAAATAAAAAAGATCGCTTAATATTACATTAACAGATCTATTTAATTGTTTTATTCATATTAAAATTAATCGTTAAAATTTCACTTCATTTGTGAAATTCCCGCAATATTGAAATGAAGAAAAATTTGAAGAAAGCCAGTGAAACAGCTGTAATGTTGTTTGGGCAACGATTGATCTTGCAAAAAATTAATTTAATAATAGTTGCCAATCTAAAATGTTTTATGATATGCGTTTATGGCGTTCTACTTGAAACTGCATTAGCTACGTGAACTTATTCAATGCAATTTTGTTTCAGATCGTTTTTTAATAAAAGTTTATATAATAGAAGGTAAAAAAGAAGTGAGTACTAATGGTCAGTATGAGAAAATTATCTTCATTGTTACTTCTTTAACAAAAGTTCTGTTTGGAAAAATGATGAAGGATAAAAAGAAATGATGGCAGCCAAACCTTTGGTTCACTAGTAAAATGTAATTTGCTTAAAAACGCTAAGTAAAAAATGCTACCTGAATAAAATTATTCCGCCGAATGATTTAAATTTCTTAAAATGCTTTCATAATATGGTGACATGCATCTGACAATCATTGAAAAGCTCCATAGCAACGCAATACAACGCAATTTAAAGTAATGCGTGGAATACTTGCGTTCATCGCCAATTTAAATTTCATTTTTGATTTTGTCATTAATCATTTAAAAAGAAAAAAACTATTGTTAACTAAAATTTCTTTAAATTTTTTAATGATTAATACAATTAGTATCGCACGCATTATTACCGATAACAATTTTTTGTCTGAAACGTAAGATAGAAGTAAGTTAACGTGTTCCATCAGTGATTTCATATCTTCATAGAAAATACAATAATATTTGTTTTTAAAGTTTGTTGCAAAATTGGGTTAGAATTTTTTTAGGCTTAGGAAATTCAAATTAAATATTTAAAAAAATTAATTCATTATGAAAAGTAAATATTTAGAATAAAAGTTTTGGAATTCCGATGCTAAACTTAAAAAATAATATGAAAAATTAAGTAATTTAGCAATTATTCTTAGATTCATATTTGTTAAAAATAATCCAACTATACGGCGATTAACCATAATTTCCATCAGAAATATTAAGTAATACTTGAAATATTGCTGACCAATGTATTAAAAGAATATTAATTAGTATAATAAGTTTTCCTGTCCCAAAATATTTCTGTATGCTAATTGCTAATTAATCAATTTCATTCATATAGCAGAATTAATTGGAATTAATCAAATTCTAAAACATCCACATTTGATTTTTTAATCTTTTATTATATCTTTCTATCTAATTTTCAAGTATATAATCAATTCCAATTTTTTTCATTTATTTTCATAAATATTAAGTTCAGATGATTTCAAGTGATTCATATTGACCAAAAATATATTTCAATTTCTCAAATTTAATACTGAATAGACCAAATTAATCTCAAGAAATTTTCTACAAGCAATAATTTTGCTTATTTCTAAATTTGGCAATGTTTCAGAAAGACAAACAAAAATTTTATAAAAAATTCCGATCGGATGTCTCTTATACGTGCTTTAAATGAATCAGATATGATTGCCACAGCTCGAATTCTCGACTTATTTCCCGTAAGTTAATAAACTCGTGCATAGTTAGCATGAAAATCAAATGATTTCCAATGGTACTTTGAATATTTGAATAGCACCAAAAAAACAATTAGCGCTAATTTCTAATGGTTTCATTAACTTTGCTTGCATTAAATAAATGAGAGGGAATTAGGAAGAAAAATTCCAGCTTTTATTTTTAGAATTTTAAGTTGTTTTATTGCATGCATTTAATCTTGCTTTGATCTATTTGGTCACAGTATATTTTTAATTCTTGATCATATCTGAAGTGGAAATTTCAAGAAAAGTGACAGTCTAGCTATTTTTAGACAAAAGAGGAAATTTATTTGTTTAAAAATATTTTCGTATTTACTCTTATTGTTTCAGAATGAAGTCTTTTGCCGAGATAATGAAGATCGAGTAGCATTACATTACGCAGCTGAAACAGCCGACCCCGAAACATTTAAACGAATTCTCGAAATGGATAATTCATTAATTCATTGCCAAGATCAAAATGGGTACTTCAATTTGGTTAATTTATTGCTTCTTTTCTAAATACATATTTCTTAATTATTACAAAAATCCGATCAACATTAATATAATTTTTAAAATATTAAGTTTTATCTAAATTTTATCTATATCTGGTTTTATCTATGCAACCGATGATCAAGCTGAATGTCTTCCATCCTTCTAATATGCATTTCAGCTAAGTTCCAATTCAATTTCCATCCATCTAAGTCTTAGCAATAGTTTGTTATTGTATAATAATTTCACTTTTTTTTGCTTCTTAAAAACGATTTAACCTTATCTTACTGTATAATAATTACAGTTACACAGCACTACTAATTGCATCGATGAGCGGAAATGTACCGGCCATTAAATTAATGATAGAAAATGGTATTCAGATTAATCATGTCGATAAGGATAAGCATTCTGCTGTACATTGGGCTGTTGTTTGCGGACAGGTTTACTTGATTAAATCTAATAATTTTGGGTCTAATAAGTTATGTGAAATTTTTGCATTAAAATATTGTCATAGATAAATTACCTGAACTAACACTGATCACGGATTGTTTTGAAGAATGTTGGTCATTATTATTAGGTACTGCTGCTGTTAAGATTAGCGCTCTTTAGAATAAAGTTTATTTAGCAATTAAATCAGTCTTTAGAATTTGCTTTATATAGCAATCAGTAGTAATGCTCTTGTTAATGCAAAAATAAAATAAATTTCATTAATTAATTGATGATTTAGTTGGAAGCATTGATGACATTATTGGAGAGCGGTGCTAAAGTTGATTGTGTCGACAATCAGGCATGCAATAAATTTCTTTTGTTTCATTCTGTAGCTAATTTGAACCATTTTCACTTAATCTATTAGATTAATTATTATTGACTATTGACAGATCAAATAATGTGACTTTAATATCCTATCCTTCAATATTTAACACTTTCCAATAAATATATATATCTAATCACATTCGTCGTTGAGGCGTTGATGGGAAAGTAATTGCTAAACAAAAGAGTGTATATTAGTATAAATGATTAGATTAAAAATTTCATTAAAGCTTAAATTGCTTGCTTTATTTTGTTAAACAAAATTTATTTGAAGAGAAATAAAAACAAAAAAAAAATGATCTCTTAAAGTTTCATTTTGTTTTTAAGTTGAAATTATTATAGGGAGCACAAGCAGTGCATTATGTAACAGCTGCAGAAGATATTTCATTGGAACGTTGTGAAGCAATGTTATATGTCTTATTAAAGTATAAGGCTAAAGTGAATGCGCGAGATATTGATGGTAGGACACCAATATTATGGGCTGCAACTTACGGTATACTTTTTCGTTTAATAAGATCTGTATTGAAAAGTTTAAATTTAAAAAAGGAAAATTTTAAGCCATTTTTTTGTATTTTCTATTATAATTTAATTTAGTGAAATGTAAGCATAATCAATTACGATATTGTTAGCAAAGCTAATAATCATTTTTTATTCAGGAAATCTGGAAATTGCTATCACCCTATCACAAATTGGAGGCGATATGTATGCCGTCGATAGGGATCAATTGGGTATGATACATTGCGCTGCAAGCCATGGCCATGCACACATCATCGAATATCTCATCAATACTCTGGATCCGTCTATTGTTAATTCGGTAGATCGGAATGGTGACACTGCATTATTCTATGCTGTAACTTTGGGACATTATGAATGTGCGCGATTACTTCTACTCAATGGAGCTGAAGTGAATCATCAAGTATGAATAATGTCGATTGATAGCTTTGTTGAAGAAATATTTTAATTACAAATGAGCATGTGAATTTTGCGCGTAATTAACTACATTTAAAATTTCAAAGTTTTTTACTTTTTTAGGATCGTCATCTTCGACGTCCAGCTCACTGTGCTGCAGCAAAAGGTCAATTAAGAATGCTTAAATTATTGAAACATTTCGGTGGAAGTTTCGAAATTGAAAATCGACGAGGGGATTTACCTATACATGAAGCTGTCCAGGCCGGTGCGAAAGGTGGACGGGTCACTCTTTCACTTACAAAATATAAGCATCATAAATGCTACTTGGAATGATTTAGTGGTTCTTCAAAAGATTTACCATCCTTAAATATTTGCTCGGGTTCAACATAATTAATTCAAATCATCACTGTCATTCTGTCATTTATATCGTCACCATTGAGGACACTCACTACTGGTCATTGCTCTCATGATACTGATGATAATCTAAATATAGTCACTAATATCTTCAAATTTATGATATATTATCCAAAATTCGTCATTTTTATATTATTCAAAGATGCCAGTGCATATAACGTTTTTTTAGATTGCGTAGAATATTTGCTCGCTTTGCATCCATCATCAATAAATATATCAAACCATGAAGGAAGAACCGGATTGCACTTGTCTGCTGCTTCCGGAAACATGGAAATGGTGATTTTATTGTGCACTCGAAATGCCGTCATTAATCCGTTGATGATATATCAGGTAAATAAAAGCAGTAAAAAATTGTTGGGGATCGTTTGGCAAATAGTTTTGCTGATGTTGGACGAAATGTGTGCTATAAGCAATCTTCATAATCCAGATTTTTGTAACATAAATTTGTGATGAAGACACGGAAGGTTCAGAGAATATCATGGGTAGAATCGGTCAGTATTTGTTGATATTCCTAGCAATACTCGTTTGAAGACCGTACTTAATATCGGTGCTGATGATACTGAAAATATTGATACTGTTAAAATAGGTACTGTCTGAATTGAATAGAAGGACACTATTTAAAGTCTTTTTGGATGGAAATATAGAGAAGTGAAAAAAGTCCCAGTTTAACATTTGAAACCATTTAACAAACATTAAGTGAACAAAGGATGGAATTAACATTCACGATCATGTAACAAACGAAATGCATTATTTTAGCAGAGCAAACTAAGTGAATAAAAGATTAGCTTAACACATTGAAGCAATTTAAACCACTGATAAGTAACAAATTTATTATAAAATTATTTTGGCTTTCAGACAGGGATCCGTTTGAATTAAATTGGAGATTTTCAGGATACACTCTTGACACCATTAGATTTGGCGATACAGAAGAATCATCAACTAATTGTGGAATATTTACGATTACGACAAGGTGCTAAAATAGCTGAGGAATTGTCTGAGGAAACAAGAAGACAAACAAAATTACATCTAAAGGATCTAATATTAGAAAAAGGTAAAAAAAAAATTTATTTTTGGGATTAATTGCATTTCCAGTTCAATCTCGAAGTCCATAAAATATTAAATTTTCTATTTGAAGCGAAACTAAAACATGCATGTTTCATATGAGCTCTTATACTATAATGAACATTTCACGTTTCGGACTGCATTCATTTCAACGTAAGTATCAGCAGAATGGCTGTCAATTACATCACGATCTCGAAAAAATTGAAACCGAGTGATTTCATTTATTTATAGCACGAGAGGATAAAGAGAAATGCGGCATCTTACCGAATGGAAATCGAATGGCAGTAACAGATACCGACAATGCGAATAGAATTGAAGGTGTATGTCAAGAAACTCAAACATCAATGCAGGTTTATCGAGCTGCAGCTACTAACACTTCGGTATGAGTAATTCAATTATTCGAATTTTGATGATTGAGATTAGGATATCTTAAATGAGTAATTGTAGCAATGTATTGCTAATCTTCTTATGTCATGGTTCAATAAACAAATCATTTTTAACCTTATCCGTTACATTGTTAATTCAATACAGAAAAACTTGTTAGGTTCGATTTTAGGAGAATTAAAAGTATCACAAAGGATTGCAAAGTATAACAATTGAAAGAAGCAGAGAAAAAAATTATTTTTGTCTTTAACTTTACTTTATTGAATAACTAAATTTTAATTATTTATATTTGATGAATTACTAATAAAATTTTTTAAATTTATTCTAAAGGTAGTAATTTCAGAGGCCTGAATCTCGTAATAATACCAATATTCTAAAAACTTATCACTCTATTTCACCTGTACAACAATTTCGATCTAAAGTTGCAAGCATTGCAGATCTCGAACAATACGTACCTAGAAAACAACTGCAAGTAGGTTAACGGTTTGAAAAATATTGTTCCTCTATTGCTAACAAACAATTTTCGGCTCGTGAGTGCAAACCAATTGAAATATTAATGTATAACTTCTTGACAATATTTCTTAAGGCCGGATAATTATTCCTTTAGAAAAAATTCAGGAAGTTTCTGAGTGTTTAAAAAATGTTTACTACAAAAATGAGGAAGTTAGAGAAGTGAACGACGACGGTTGGCAATACAGCAATTGCTGGACATCAGAAGATGATGACATGAATGTTGAAGATGCGAACAGAAGAAAGGGGAAATCATCAAGGTATGATTGTTATGGAATTATTAATTTCCTGACAAATAACTGCCAATCGATTAGCTAGTTTTTAACCAATATCACTTTATTGGCTGATCTTAGAAAATCAAATGTAAGTTCGATTGATATTCATTTAGAAGTTGTACGAAAGGTCAGAAAAAAATTAATCAAATCATCAAAATGTTATCATAAAAATCAAAATTTGCGGAATAAAATGTAAAATCTAAAAAAATCAACGAGTTGAAGACGAAATTTGCATTAACTGTAAAAATTTTAGGAATATACTAAACAAATCAAAAAATGACTATCGTCTTCAACTGAAGCAGTTGAAGGAGAATGATCGTTCGTATGGAAAAAGTGAGAGAGGAGAAAAGATGAAGAAAAAATTTGTGCAAGTGACAAGAATTGATGAAAATTTGAGTGGCAATGATAATGATAATAATGAGAAGCAAATTAATGATAAGCCAGAAAGTGGCAGTATTTATGGAATGAGTGGTATGTCACATTTAAGTAAGCAATTAATTTCCAGTATAACTTTAAGCAACTAATATTTTTTTTAAAAATTAATTAATCATGTTGGTAATTAATTATATGAAAAAAATGATAATTGATAAGGAAGAATGGTATTTTAAAGATACTGTAGAACTAGTCTTTGAGGAGAGTTTTACATGCCCATCTTTTTATTCCCATGAAATTTGACAACATTTTAATGTTTTGTTAAAATCCTTCAATGATACTTGTAAAATGAAATAGTTACAGATAAGTGGATCGGTCGAGACTATGCACACGAAGAAGCTATTTTTAATGAACTTACACATTTGAAGAAGACACAATTGCAGTATGGTAAAGTAAAGGAACAAATATTGGTCCGGTCACTAATTAATAATTTCTGTAAAATGTACAGTCTTAACCCGGCATACTTGAAATTTAACACTTTTCATGCATGGGAAAAATTTCTTTGTGGTTTGCTTTTCAAATGCATCTTTTTTTTCAGAAAAAAATATTTAATAATTGATATTCGGCTTTGTAGAATAAAATACGAAATGTTAATTAATATATTCGATCTTCCGGTATTCCTCACTAGTGGTGACAGCAATTTCACCTTTGATGAAATAGCTATTTCAATACTAATAGAAATGGAATGTATTATATTTGAAATGATAATCTCGCGCTTAATCTTCCCATTCACGATGATATAGTGGAAATTTTAATCAGTTAATAAAAAATGACAAGTATTTCTCGCTCGTCCTGTTTGTGGCATCTTTTTCTGTTTAAAATCATCTTTCAGATCAGTTGAAATTGCTATATTTAAAAGAACGGAATCATATACTCAATTCACATCACCCGCACTATTCATCTGTCAACAAGTAAAAAAAATTTTATTATATTCTCTATTCATCCACTTTCTTTTTCAACACATATTTACAACCTTTGTTTTAATCTTACTAAACTATTTTCTATAAAATCTATTAGCTTGACAAATGGTAGTTAATTCTCTTAAGACAAGCCGCTTAGTCCTTTCATCTTCATGATAATGTAAATTTATCAAAATGTAAATTTATCGAGTGCGTTAACCGGATTTATTTAAATGCTAATATAGATCAAAGGTTGAACTTACGTGCGGTCACTTTCGGTTTGCAGCTGTTAAGCGTGCAAACCAAGCGTTATTTTTGACCTCATAATAAAATTTGTAATTTTCAATTTATAACTTACAGATATAATTTGGTTTATAGATGTAAAACAAGCCTGCAACGAAAACAAGTATATCAAGACAACACGATATTAAATACTATCACGGAAGGTACACGTTCGGCTCATAGTGATTCATCTCAAACCATATTATATACACGTGAAAAGCGTTGTAATTGCTTGTATAATAGATATGATTTGCTGTAACTTACCTTACAAAAATTAATAAAGATAATTTTGAAAATTTGAAAAATTGATTTAACATTAGCATTGTCTCCTAATGATACGAATTCAACATTTATAATGGATAGATGGATAGTGCTTATCGTAATAATTATTATTATTTCTTACATCATTCAAAGAATATTAGGATGGAGATAATTGCAATGTAATTGTGCAAGTGGTTGATAACGTGAAATAACAAGAACTAACTAACATTATATATTCTTTTATTTCTAATTTTAGTGAATGCAATATTCTACGGATTCAAATTTTAAATGACAAATATAGAGTAGAATTAATTTAAACCTCATTCACTCCGTTGCATTTCATTTATCTGGTTTTTCACTTGCTGTTGAATTGTTCAAATTTGGTGGTAACGGTGGTATTGTCTTCACCTCTTCTAGATTATTGGTCTGGTGTTCTGGAATGAAATATTTCATAACTTTCAGAATTTATAATTTTTCTTCTTCGGCTTTGCTAAATCTAAATACAACAAATGTCGAAGGTCTATCTGTTGCAAATATAATTAGACCTGAAATTGATATTTCAGGGTGTTTCACAAAATTTATTAGATTTACAAATGCTAATTCTCTTAATGTGATGAGGCAGGCTATTTAGCCTCTTATTTTCATAATAATTTTATCGAAGTGTAAATTAACGAATATCAATTTCATCAGCAATTGGCGATTTTGCTCTCATTTCCCGCTCCGCCCGTTGTACTGCTTGATATACATCAGCATAATGCTTTTGCACTGCCTTTAATTTAAAAATCATATTACAAGCATAATTTACTATAATCATATTTCAGTTTTTGTTTTAATTAAAAATCTATTCGTATAAAAGCTGAAAAAAAAAGAAGAAGAAGCTAAACATTTCTCAGTGACGGATAATTTTTCATCTTTCTTTCATTCGATTATATCGATTTTAACGATCATTGCAAATGATTAAAAAATACAATCGGTCAATGAATTTAAAATAAATAAATAAAAAAATTCCATTTCTTAAATTTCTTATCAGTTGAAAAGTTGAAATTATTTGTAGATTAAACTATATTAGAATGAAATTAGCATACTTTATCTATCTCTATCTATAGTTTTTTTTTTCCAATTTTAAAGGAATCATCCTTTTCTAAAATTATTATTGATAATTTGCTGAATGACAACAAAATCTATTATGATACCAACAATCCTTAATCCTTAATTCAAAATGGATCTTCTTTCTTAAATATGGCAACCAAAAGATAGAATTCAATATTCTCGTTTTTCTTTTTTCACACCTACTTCTTCGAATTTTGTTCCATGATCATTGGCACTAGCAGTAGTTTCCTTTAAAATATCACCAAGTGACATTGTTACTGCCTTTTTGAATGTTTCTGCTGCATCGCCAGGTGTATCCGGATCTGATTCATAGAATTGTCCATATTTTCGATTATAAATTCTAGATAATAAGATCTCCATTTGGAAACAAATCTGTCAGATTATTGAAGAAAAATGAGCTATCTATAACAGATTTCAAACAAATTAAGACTAACTAAAAAATAACAGAAAGGTAACATACTGATACGTGTCAAGTACATTAGCAACATTAAGAAATGCTCTTCGTGCACGTGTTAACGCATTACCGTATAACATATACCAATGATACGTAAAGATAAATGATGTTAAGGCCATCAAACCAGCCGTTGCTTCATCGTATGTGTACATCAAATTACCGGCAAAACTGAATGAGCATCATTCACTTTCGAACAAAACGAAAAATGTGCATGAATCTCTGAATTCTTTACTTGCATCTCGTACGCTGCTAACGTGCAATAATAATATGATTGCATTCATTTCATTCCTCATATAAACTTATTTGTGGGATTATTATTATTATGATACCTTCCTTCACTATGATTATATTGCATTGCATTCTTGCCTACGTGAGTTTATTTTTTTCTTTGACGTACTATGTTTGTATGTATGTGTATGTATGTAGCGTACGAAAAATTAAGATGATGAAATGAAATTCTATGGGAAAAATATTACCAAAATAATGCAGAGGTAAGAAGAGTGCAAAGAGTAGCGTTAAAACGTGAGAAACGTTGTGATTTCGATTTGGTGCCACTACCATCTATTGCTTGCATTTCATTCTTTTACCAAAAATATCAGCGAAATTAATGTAATTAATTTGAGATTAAAATAGATGTTTAAAAGAATCTAATTCTGATTCCATTCATCAAATTTCAGATACTTTCAAAATTACTGTTGTTAAAGTGTTGAAATGAATTAATACCATACCATCATTATAAACGAATTATAGGTATATATATGTCGAATGAATCCTCTACTCAATACCTTCAATAATTTCTTTTCTTACTAAAATAGTGGGGAATTAAATCAATAAGCGTTGAAATGTATTTAAAAAACTAACAGGTAAAAGTGATCAAATGAAGTTGATTTTGAAAGATCAATCAGCTTATGCAAAACAGCAATATATGGGTATATCGATCGTAACGTTCGTATATCGATCGCTCTAACAAACAACTATACTATAAACTATTAAATTAAATGAATTATGTCCCATTTTATTTACTATTTTATATCAATTTCATTTATTATTATTATTTAAAAAACTTTTGCTTATTTCATTTGCATTCATGCAAATTGTCGTCATATCATATGTAAAAATAAATTTTGTAACACTTCAAAACTTCGTCAACTATTGATTGCATTTCTTCCTTTTTTATCACTAATCAATTGTATTTGTTTCCTATTTTATCAATAATGCTCTATCTATTACCATAATGTTATCAATTCAAAAATGGCACTATCATAATCAATACACGGTTTCCTTTTCGCTATCATATCAATACTCACTCCTTTTGATGATTCAAATTATTGGTTGATTACTACATTGTAAAGTATTTTTTTCATCCTATTTCAACATTTAATTTTGCTTTTCTTTTTTCTTCAAAATTAATAAAAGCATCTATCTATTCGGATTAGAAGTGATCTAATTGTCAATTTCGATTACTATTATCATTAATAATAATAATAATATTATTATTATTATTATTAAATCTGATTTTACATATTTCACTCATAAATATATATATTTTTTTATAAAATTTCTAATAAACTGATTAAAATATTAATTGCATCACTTATGTATGTATTTTATCTTCCTATTTGTTTCTCTAACCTAATAAGATGAAATATAATTATTATCCTGTCATATTTAATTTTGCATTTTAGTAGTTTAATTTTCTTTCGAAGAATAAGGATGGTTTAATCTATTATCGTAGACTAAAATTTGATCGAATAATCAATCAATCAATCAATCAATCAATCAATATACAATTTATGCTTTGCAAATGAAAAAGTAAAATCAAATTTACTTTATCATTATTATTATTATTATTATTATTATTATTTAGCAATGAAATTCATTCTCCTCATCATATTATCAGTCTAATCATTATCATCAAATTATAAATTCAAAACAATCAATGATAAAAGATGATAGAAAGAATGAAGGAAATTATATAGATGGAAAGAAAAGTCCATTTATCACTTCTCTTCCATTCTCAATAAACTCGTCTTTTCCCAAATAATCGAAAACAAAAAAAAGAAACCTGTTTTTGTTTCTTTTCACAAAAATTAAAAGTGATGTAGAAATTGAAACTAATGTTTGTCGTTTCTTCATTTTAAATATAATACTTACTACCTTACTTACCTATATTGTACCTTATATTTCAATCAATTCTTTTTATCTTTCTACAAATCATTCTTTAATATATTGGAGGAGGAGGAAGAGGAGGAGGAAGAGGAGGAAGAGGAGGAGGAGGAGGAGGAGGAGGAGAATACAAAAGATATTACAAGTTTAATTATTTGATAAGTTTTTCATTATTTATCTTGAAATTCAACTAATTTAAACGATAATCTAATAATCAAACAGCTAATCAAACATTTTTTTAAGCAATCTTTTCGAAATTATTCAAAGCTAAATCATTAGTAGTAAGCTATGATAAAATTCGATTTTATCAGCGATTCGCTATGATTAATTAGCCAAATGAATCAATTATCCTTTATTATTCTTTTTTACCAAACCATGGATATAGAACTCCGCGACGATTATCGCAAATGTATGTGTATATGTGTGTGTATGTGTATGTGTGTGTATGTGTTTGTGTGTGTGTGTATATGTGTGTGTGTGTTTGTGTGTATGTGTGTGCATGATTAAATAATTTTCAACTTTCAATCTATCTGTCAACTTAGAAATAAGTAAATAATCTATTGAAGGAAATTTAAAACAAAAGCAGTTTAATCGCGAATTTTAGATTATATTTTGCAACAAATTTTAAATCACTTTTCATTTGCTCGATATATCAATAACAACAACAACAACAACAACAATCACAACTTTCCGAATGATTTATAATGTCTGATCAAAGAACGGTTAGCGTTTTACAAAAATTTCAATAACATACTTAATATCAAGATGAAATGAAAAGAGAAAGAGAGAAGGAAAGAAAATATAAAAGAGATATGTATTTTTCTAATAGTTGTGTCTTCTATTTATATAATCTTTGGATTTTCTGATTTTAACTTTTTATTCAATTTAAAAAAATATGAATGCAATTTAATTTAATAGAATTACGGTAATTGAATATTATATTGGTGCTAATTTGAAACATTTTTTTTCAGGTCATTGGTTTCTTCATACTTTTTCTTACCGTTTATTTTTTGGAATCAATTGGTGGCTTCTTTATGGCAAGGTTACTACTACTATTACTACTGCCTAAAAATGGAATGAATACAAAATTCCACTTATTTATATTTTTGTAAGAAAAGAAAAAGATAAAATTGACTGATGAATACTCTGTAAGTGTAAACTACAGTGTAGTGGTATCAATCGAGAAACAATTTCAAATATCAAGTCGAATGTCTGGTTTGATGGTTTCTGCTGGTGATCTTGGTTATATACCATCGGTGGTTTTTGTG